AGCCAATCCAGTTTACATTATAGAATATTCTCAAGTTTCAGGCATTAGCAGCAACAGGCAGTTTGGAAAAGGGATAGAGGATGGGTCTAAAATAAGTAGACTGGTTAAAAGCTATTTAATAAACTGTTAGATCTGTAGATCCCTTTACCTATACCATACCATTTGGGCAACTGCAGAGGTTTGGAGGTCCGTTTTTCGGAAAGGGTAAACAATGCCTAGACTTGAGTTTGCCAGACACAACCAAAGATGTAAATACCATACAGAAATCAGGGAAATTGTGTGACCTTGAATAAAGAATAACCAGTTGTCATCAAATCGATTCCAACCCTGGTGACCCCATGTGTGTCAGAGGAGAACTTGCTTCATAGGATTTTCAGTGGCTGATTTTTTGGAATTAGGTTGCCAGGCCTTTTTTCTGAGGGCCACTGGTTGGACTCAAACTGCCAACCTTTTGTTTAGCAGCCAAGTGCCTTAATCATTTGCACTACCCAGGGACTCCATAAACCAAGAATTGTATGCTATAAAAAAGGAAAAGTCAGAGAATCCATATCCACACACCAAAAAAAAATAAAGGATCTTAGAAATTCAAAATATGAAAAAGTCAGCTGAAGGAGTTAAAGAAGTCTCTCTGAGTATAGATCAAGAAAGAGAAAAATAGAAAGTACAAGAGTCTTAATAGGGGTATTACTGGGCCAGAATAGAAGGACCAACACTAAAAAAGGGGGGGGGGAGACAGAAAAAAATGGAATGGAGGAAGCCATCACCAAAATAAAATAATTCAAGAAGACATCCTATAATTGAAGGACATGAATTATTAGATGGAAAGAGCCCACTGGATACCCAGCACAATGGATGGAAATAGACCCACACCAAAATACAGCGTCATAAAATTTCAGAATACTAAAACAAGGAAGACCCCACACATCTTTAGAGTTGGGAAGCAGGTATACATACAAAGGCTCAGGAGTCAGAATGGCTTTATACTTAAAGCAACAACCAGAAGCTAGAGGACAGTAGATCAATGCCTTAAATTTTCTAAAGGAAAATTATTTCTAACCTAGAATTCTGTACCCAGCTAAACTATCAATAAAATATGGGGACAAAACACATTTTCATACATTCAAGTTCTGGAAAAAAATTATGTCCCATAAACTATTACTCAGGAACCTATTGGAGGATGTGTTTACACCAAAGTGAGAGTATTATCCAAAATGGAAGAAGACATGAGATATGAGGCTTAGGAGGTACAACACAGGAGAAAGGTAAAAGCAATTCCCAAGGTGAAGGGAAGGGATTTTCCCAGATTATAGACATACACTGGACAGGAAACCATTCCAGAAAGTAACAGGGTAACTCCACACACAGATATGTTGAGGTCCTTGTGCATTATACATTCTTGCACTTGATAATACAGGGGTAGCCTGTCCCCAGAATCTTATCTGTACTTAGCTTGCATGGACATATGCTGATGAAGTTCTTGCTCTCTCCTCCGTGCCCTGCTACCTGGATAACCAAAGACATTCATTCACCCAACAGAAGAATTTTGCTTTGAACTACTGAGAGCTGAAGATTGGCATGGTAAGTAAGCTTAGAAGCAGAAAATAGAGAGCATCCTACTTCCACTGATCATATTCCTGACAAATTTCAGCGCCTGGCCCACACTGCAACCCTGCCAGATGCCTTCACTATGCTGAGCTCTGTGTATCCTGGGACTCATTCTTGCCTTCACCCACTGTTGTTTCCAAATGATGATACGATAAACTCTCTGAAAAGCTGAAGCCAGACTGACTGTCTTAAATTCATCTGCTCTTGAGAACTTTTATCAAACAGTGGCAATAATGCCCTTTTCATACACAGCCAGGTTTGTACTTGCCTAGTGATTTTTAAATAAATCACCTTTTGCATTCACTTACAACCAAGTACTTGTAGTTTAAAATAACAAAATATTTTGGGGGAAATCTATTATTGTCATTGAACATGTTAAAAAAAAAAAGAGAGAGAGAGAAACCATATGATACCAATAGATTTAGCGAAAGTATTCTGTAAAATTCAACACCTGTTTATGATTTTTTTAAAAAGAAGATAAAAACCTTTATTAACTAATAATAAGTGGGAACTTCCTTAACTTATAAACTCTATAGCATATAATGTACTTAATCATGAAATGCCAAAAAAAAATTTTTCTCCCTTTAAAATCAAGAATAAAACAAGCATACATATTATTACCACTTCTATTCAACATAATACTGTTAGAAATCCTATCCAATGTGTATTTGCAGATGACATGATCATGTATAGAAAATATCAAATGATATGTACAAAAAAAAAAACCTACCAGAAGTAGTAAGTAAATTTAGCAACATCACATCAGTATTCAAAAATCAATTGTATAATTAAAAAAAAAAAAAAAAAGACCAGACTTAACTGGTCTGACAGAGACTGGAGAAACCCTGAGAATATGACCCCAGACGCCCTTATAGCTCAGTAATGAAGTCACTCCTGAGGTTCACCCTTCAGCCAAAGATTAGACAGGCCCATAAAACAAAATAAGACTAAAGGGGCACACCAGCCCAGGGGCAAGGATGAGAAGGCAGGAGGGGACAGGAAAGCTGGTAATGGGGAACCCAAGGTGAGAAGGGGAAAGTGTTGACATGTCGTGGGGTTGGCAACCAATGTCATAAAACAGTATGTGTATTAATTATTTAATGAGAAACTAGTTTGCTTTGTAAACCTTCATCTAAAGTACAATTAAAAAATTTTTTTCAATGCTAAAGAAAATTGTATTTTTATATACTAGCAGCAAACAATTGTAAGATGGAAATTTTTAAAGTATCATTTACAATGGCATTTAAAAAATCATATGCTTAGGGATTAAATTTAGCAATATGTACAAGAGTTGCACATTAAAAACTATAAAACATTACTGAGAGAAATGAAAGAAGATCTAAATTAATGGAGAGATACACCATTTTCATGGATTGGAAAACTCATATTAAGATGTGAATTCTCCTAAATTGATCTATAGAGTCAATGCAGTCCCAATCAAAATTTCAGCAGGCTTTTTGGTAAAAATTGAGAAACAGATTCTGAACTTTACATGGTAATGCAAAGGATCTAGAATAGCCAAAACAATTTTGAAAAAGTAAAGTTGGAGGACTTAACACTAATTGATTTACTCTATGCTACAGTAATCAAGACCATGTGGTACTGTTGGTAAGAATGAAATTAGATCAATAGAACAGAGTAGAACATCCAAAACTAGGCCCATACATACATACTTACTTGACCTTTAACAAACATGCCAAAGTAATTCAGTGGGGAAAGAGCAGTCTTGTCAACAAATTGTGCTAGAACAACTGGATATTCTTACGGGGAAAAAAAGGAACCTCAACCTTTACCTCACCCCATTCCAAAAATTTGCCAGAAGTAGATTATATCCCTAAATGTAAAAGCTTAAAATTATGAAACTTCTAGAAGAAAATATAAGAGAAATCTTCACAACCTTTGGTTAGGCAAAGATTTATTAAATAAGGCACAAAAAAGCACAAGGTATAAAAGAAAAATTGATAAACTGAGCATCAAAAATAAAAACTTGCTCTTCAAAAGACACACTTAAGAAAATGAAAGGCAAGTAACAGACTTGGAGAAAATATATATCCAACAAAAGACTTACATCTGGAATATATTAATAACTTACAGTTCAATAATAAGGCAAACAACACATTTTTTTAAATAGGCAAAAGATTGACCAAACCATCAAAGATATATGGATGGCAAATAAGCACATGAAAAATGCTCAGTAACATTAGTCATTAGAAAAATGAGATACCACTACACACCTAGGACAGCTAAAATGAAAAAGACTGATCATACTAAGTGTTGATGAGAATGTGGAACAGTTGAAACACTCATACACTACTGGTAGGAATGTAAAATGGTATAATCACCTAGGAAAACAATTTGGCAATATCTTAAAAAGCTAAACATTCACTGGCCATATAACCCAGCCATTCCTCTCCTAACTATTTACCCAAGAGAAATAAAAGTGTATGTCCATACAAAGACTTATGTATGAATTTTCATAGCTGCTTTATTTGTAATAGTCAAAAACTGGAAACAACACAAATCTGTACCAGCAGGTGGACAGATAAATTGTAGTATACCCATGCAGTGAAATATTACTCAGCAATAAAAGAAATGAACTATTAATGCGTATAACAACATGGATGAATCTCAAAATAATTATGCTGAGTGAAAGAAGCCTACAATAAAGAGTATATTTATATAACATTCTGAAAAATGCAAACTAAGCTACAGCAACAGAAAGCAGACCAGACCAATGGTTGCAGGGGACGAGTAGGTGAGTGGGAGGAATAAAGGATGGATTACAAAGGGACACAGAAACTTTTGAAGGGTAATAGATGTGGTAGTATTATGGATATGTAGAGATGTAGTCATCAAATTGTGTACTTCAAATATGTGCAATTTAATGTAAGTCAATTATACTTCATTAAAGTTGTAAAAATATGTAAGCTGCTGTTACTATTTTGGGTAACTCACCAAGCTTCAGTTTCTGCATATGTGAAATAAAAAGAATGTACCTACCTCACAGAGTTTATTTAAAGATTGCATATATGTGTGAATTGTTTTTCTACTCTGCCTGACGCAGAGAAGGTGACTCAATCAACAGTAATTCTATTCCACCATGCCCCTGCCTTTTCTGTGAGACTGAAAAGATTATTGGACACTTTCAGGCTACCTTCCTGACACATGTAGCAAAGTCTTGGTGGCCCATTCTCTCTCAGTACCTTTTAATAGCTAAATATTATAGGCAATTTTTAATAGCTAAATATTATAGGCAAATGTTAGAGGATTGAATAGATAGGTTTGTTTTTAATACTAATGAAAACCTTTCCTTCTCGTGAGAGCAGTGACTTCAAGCTCTGCTCATGACATGAATTGACACAATTCCATTTTCCTTTTCGCTTTTTCCCCCACAGGGTTTATCCATGGCTTAGAGGACTGGGTTATACATCCCTGAGTATATTTTTATTGGGATTTTTATTATGGAACATAGATAACATCTTTTGTGATTCACTGAGGTAAGATACAGTTTTATTCCTTGAGAAATATTTTAGAAGCATTCTGTTATTCATGAGTTTCATAGGCATATAGAATTACTAGTGCCTTGAAATTAATGTTTACCATTGTTGAAATGTAAAAGATATGTATAGCAAATAAAGTTAAATTCAGGGAATTCCTGTTTAAATTACCTAAGAATTTGGACCTGAGAATATTTCTTAACATCCAATAGGGTTTTTATTTTCTTTCAGTTCATCACAGAATTATACAGTTAATCAAATATTGACTAGGTCTTTGAAACCTGACTAATCTGCTTTATTGAATAAATAAAAATCTTTGTACTGAGCAAATGAAATACACGTATATAAATTTGCACTTTAATATGCTTAATGTTATTTGCTAAGAAAGATAAGCATTTCTTCTACCATCTTTTCAGCGATTATGTATTGACAGGAGTTTGAATCCTAGACTTAGGTCTCTGAACACTAGTCTGCCACTAAGGCATTTTAATCTTTCTAGGCCTCAATTTCTATAAAGTGAATGTATTAAATAGGTTAATCTAATGATCCTTCCAACTCAAAATCCTATGACCTAGCAGTATTGTGTAAGTACAGAGGATAGAGGAACATACTGAACAATACCACAGAGACACAATCAGCAAAATTCAGACTACAGGAAATCTACAGCATGAATGACCTTGTTTCTTCAACAAATAACATTGCAGAGGGTGCGGAGAGAGGTTAGGAGGAATGTATAGATTTAAAAAGTCTTAGCTATATTGACCAAATGCAATGTGTTGACCTTTGTTTGGATTTTGATTCAAACCAGCTATAAAGAAAAAAGAAAAAATCTATGAGACAATTGGAACGTTGGTCAATGACTAGATACTTGATGATATTAAGGGATTATTGTTCATCTTTTTAGGTATGAAAATGGTATTGTGGTTACGTTTTAAAGAGTTTTTCGTCTTTTAGAGATACATACTAAAATATTTAGACATAAAATGATACATTACCTGGGATTTGCTTCAAAATAATCCAGTTTGGGAGGGCAGCCTTTGGAAAAAACAAGATTGGTCATGAGATGATAACTTTTGAAGATGATTGATCAATACATTGAGTTTTATTATACCCTTTTCTCTACTTTTGTATATGTTTGAAGTTTTTCTATAATAAGATGTTTAAAATGAAATTTTTAAAAATATCTGTAACTACTTAACAGCTTATATAATTCTGGGACATAAGTACTTCTCATGTTTTTGTAGTCCTATTTTTTAAAAGTAAACTGTTGCCCCATTAAAAATATGGTATCTAAGTATGCTGTTGACACCTTTGAAAAACAGAAGTATTCTGATTTAGATGCAGGCTTTAATATTGAAATATTTACAGATGCAGTCAAATATCTGGAATTTGCTTCAAAATAATATGGGAGGGGAAAGTGGATGAGGGTGTAGATGACACAGGATTGACCATAAGTTGATAATTAATGAAGCTGGGTAATGGGTACATTATTATTTTGTCCCTTTTTGCACAGGAGCCCTGGTGGCACAGTGGTTAAGAGTTCGCCTGCTAACCAAAAAAGTTAGCAGTTCAGCTCCACTAGCTGCTCCTTGGAAACCCTTTGGGGCAGTTCAGCTCCGTCCTGTAGGGTCGCTTTGAGTCGGAATTGACTCGTCAGCTATGGATTTGGGGTTTTTGGTTTTTATTTTTGCATGTTTGAAATTCTCCATAATAAAACATTAAGTAAATGTAGACAAATGAGTAATACAGCTGACTTAGAAAACTAAGATCTAAGGGAGCTTTTGCACTGGTTATCATCATCCCCTGGGTAAGAACCACTAATCAGTCTGGCCTAAGAAACAAAAGTAGACTCTTAGGGATGATAATTGTCCTGGAAATATCCTGAGGATGTCTAGAAAAATAATTCGGTGTTTCACATTGGTTTTTCTCCTCTAATAAATGAGAATATTAATATGCTCTACACTTAACCCAAAGTTCTGAGTTTGAGACTCAGCTGTGCCACTAGCAAAAGACTTGGGCAAGTCAGTTAATCTCTCTGGATTTTAGGTTCCTTATCTGTAAAGGAATCCACCAGGAGCTCCTTGGAAATCCTATGGGGCAGTTCTACTCTATCCTATAGGGTCACTATGAGATGGAATCAACTCAATGGTAATGGGTTTTGTTTTGTTTTTTATTTGTAAAGCAATGCTAATAATAGCCTCCTCAAAGAATCACTGACTATGAAGTGAAATAATAGGTACAAAAGGACTTTATAGACTGTATGTGCTGTACTAAGGTGATGGTTGTACATAGGGCATAAGAGAGGCATGTATTTAGAGAAAAGAGTTCTATAGATTAATACATTACCTAGAAAACATTAAGATAAACTATTTTATTTATGGAATGACTTTTCAAAGCCTTTAATCTGTTAATATACATTATAAATCTCAAAGAGGGCAATAAACTATGTACTTTTCTCAAATTTATTTTATCACAGAGTCCTTCATGGAACATCTGCTAAGAATACTAGCAGGATACACTTTGGAAAACAATACAGCAGACTGTAATTTTCTTAAGTAGGCTTAAGAAAATTAAATAATTGCCATATTCAAAAATGACAGGCTTTTCAAAATGCTCCAAAACTGTCAGCATTAATTTTTATATATGTAAAAAATTTAACATGGCGTTTTGTTTTTTCATCTCCACACAGGAACTTTAGAAAGAAGATGCCACCCATCATAGGTGTTACCACCCAGTTTCATGCATGGTGGCATATTTTAACTGGTCTTGGCTCTTATCTTCACATCCTCTTCAGGTAGGAAGTGGAGACTTTTTTAGCTTAGTATTGGTGGGTTTTGCTTTGCTCTTCAAATAGGATAGTGTAAGAAATAATGAAGTAAAAGAGCTGAACAGAAGATTTCAATGGGCAGTTCAGCAAGACAAGATAAAATATTATGATGAAATGTGCAAAGACCTGGATTAGAAATCAAAAAGGGCAGACCATGATCAGCATTTCTCATGCTGAAAGAACTGAAGAGAAAATTCAAACCTCAAGTTGCAATACTAAAGGATTCTTTGGGTAAAAAATTGAATGACACAGGAAACATCAAAAGAAGATGGAAGGACAATTATTGGTCTCTACTTGTACAGAGCAAAAGAGAAAGAGGGAAACAAAGACTCAAAGAAGAAACTAGTCTACAGGACAAATAGTCTACACGAACTGTGGCCTCATCTACCCTGAGACCAGAAGAACTAGATAGTGCCCAGCTACCTCTACCAATTGTTCTAATCAGGGCCACAATAGATGGACCCTGATAGAATGGCAGAAAAATGTGGAATGGAACCTCAAATTCCAAAATAAAAAAGAAAAACAGGCCTACTGGACTAGTTGAGGACTGGAGGACTCCCCAAGACTTGCCCTGAGATACTCTTCAGACCTTGAATCGAAACTAACCTCTGAGGTCACCTTGTAGTTAAATAACAGAGTGGCTCAAAAAATAATGAATATCACCTGTAAGTACTGTACTCCTTTGAAAAACCACCTATATGAGACCAAACAGTCAACAGTTACTTTAACATAAAGATGAGAATGTTAGGGAACAGGGAAACTAGATTAATGGAAATGTAACAACCAGAATGGAAATAATGAAAATGTTTATGCATTGTGAAGAATGTAACCAATATCACTGAACAATTTGTGTAGAAATTGTTGAATGGGAACCTAAACTACTGTGTAAACCCTCACTGAAAATACAATAAAATATTATTTTAAAAATAATAGTAAATAAATGAAGAACATGGAAGGAATATACAGAGTCACTGCACTGAAAAGAATTAGTCAGTGTTCAGCCATTTCAGGAGGTAGCATATGATTAACAACGACTGGTACTGAAGGAAGGAGTTCAAGCTGCACTAAAGGCACTGGCAAAAAAACAAGGCTCCAGGAATTGACAGAATACCAATTCAGATGCTTCAGCAAATGGATACAATGCTGGAAGTGCTTACTTGTCTGTGTCAAGAAATTTGGGAGACAGCTACCAGGCCAGAAAACTGGAAGAGATTTATATTCATGCCCCTATCGAAGAAAGATGATCAAATGGAATGCAGAAATTATCTAACAATATGCTATGCTAATAAAATTTTGCTGAAGGTATTTCCACAACAACTGTAGCCGTACATAGACAAGGAACTTCCAGAAATTCAGGCAGGATACAGAAGAAGATGTGGAACAAGGGATATCATTGCTGATGTCAGACCAGATCTTGGCCAAAAGCAGAGAATACCTGAAAGATGTTTACCTGTGTTTTATTGACTACATAAAGGCATTCAACTATGTGGATCATAACAGATTATGGATGACATCATGAAGAATGAGAATTCCAGAACAGTTAATCGTGCTCGTGCAGAACCTGTACACAGATCAAGAGACAGTCGTTCAAACAGAACAAGGGGATACTGTGTGATTCAAAGTTGGAAAAAGCATGTGGCCGGCTTGTATCCATTAACCTTACTTATTCAATCTATATGCTGAACACATAATCCAAGAAGCTGAACTATGTGAAGAACAAGGCATGAAGATTAGAGGAAGATTCGTCAGCAGCCTGCAATATGCAGATGACAAAACCTCGTTTGCCAGAAATGAAGATGGCTTGAACATTTACTGATGAAAGTCAAAGACCACAGCCTTCAGTATGAATTACACCTGATCATGAAGAAAATTAAAATCCTTACAACTGGACCGATAAACAACGTCATGTTAAATGGAGAAGAAATTGAAATTATCAACAATTTCATTCTACTTGGATCAACAATTAACTTCCATGGAAGCAGCAGTCATGAAATCAAATGATGCATTGCACTGGGCAAATCTACTGCAAATGATCTCTTTTAAATTTTAAAAAGCAGAGGTGACACTTCGACCAGGAGGAGCTTGACCCAAGCCATGATCTTTTCAGTCATCTCATGTTCATGCGAAAACTGGACAATGAAAAGGAAGACAAAAGAATTGATGTGTTCAGATTGTGGTGTTGGCAAAGAATATTGAATATAGACTGAATATAGACTGAATGTAGACTGCCAAAAGAACAAACAAGTCAGTTTTAGAAGAAATACAACTAGAATGTTCCTTACAAGCAAGGACGGCAAGACTTCAACTCACTCACTTTGCACACATCAGGAAAGACCAACTTCTAGAAAAGGACATAAAGTAGAGGGCCAACAAAAATGAGGGAAACCCTCAATGAGCTGGATTGAGACAATAGCCACAACAATGGACTCAAACATACCAACAATCATGGGGATGGCGCAGGACTGGGCAGTGTTTTATTCTGTTATACACATAGGGTTACCATGAGTCATAGCCAACTCAATGGCAACGAACAGCAAATTAAAAAAGTTAGAGACAGAATTAGGTACTTTGTTCCAACTTTGCCTCTGCCACTGTGTGACCTTTAGTAAGTTCCTTCCTTTCTCTGAAGGTTAGTTTTGTCATCCATAAAGTGAAGCCATTGCACTAATTGACTTCTGACACATGATGTACATTCTAAGTAGATCATTCATCTCCTTTTTTAGTGCCAGTAGGATATAAACATTTCCAGTGTCTTGTAGATCAGGATATCTTTGTTTTAGAGAACAATTTGAAAAGGAGGGAAGAGTGGGTGCAGCCAGATCACCTGCATAAGGGACTGGGAAAGCATGAGTACCTGAAGCCCCCAGCTTAATCTTTATCCTTCCCTGAAATAAGTCAGTTGCCACTTCTCTTCCCCTGCTCCCCTAATGAAAAGTTTGTTGAAGGGTGGCTATTTACAGCAAAAGTGAAATCAGAGCTCTCTCTGATCACCCTATCCAAATAATACCACCATATCATTCTCTCTCCTCTTACCATGCTTTATTTTTCTTCAAATAATTTATAACCAGTTAAGTATTTATTTACTTTCTCAAGAATTGAGAGAGCTAAAATGTTTGTAGAAAGGGGCAGAAAGTGTGAAAAATTTACTGAAGTGAAATTTTTAGAACACCCTCCCAAAATAACATTTGCATCTCACCTGCCTAGAGATCGACTTATCCAGTGTCTTAGTTACCTAGTACTGCTGTAACAGAAGTACCACAAGTGGATGGCTTTAACAAAGAGAAATTTATTTCTTCACAGTAAAGTAGGCTAAAAGTCCAAATTCAGGGCGTCATCTCCAGTGGGAGGCTTTCTCTCTCTGTCAGCCTTCTCATCAGCGTTCACCCGGACTAGGAGCTTCTCCACACAGGGACCCCAGGTCCAAAGGATGTGCTCTGCTCCTGGCACTGCTTGCTTGGTGGTACGAGGTCCCCCATTTTGCTGGCTTCCCTTTCCTTTTATCTCTTGTAAGATAAAAGGTAGTGCAGGCCACACCCTAAGGAAACTTCCTTTATGTTGGATCAGGGATGTGACCTTAGTAAGGGTGTTACAATCCCACCCTAATCCACTTTAATGTAAAATTACAGTCACAAAATGGAGGACAACCATGCAGTACTGGGAATCATGGCCTAACCAAGTTGACACAAAATTTTTGGGGGACATTTCAATCCATGACATTCCACCCTTTGGCCCCCCCAAAAATCACATCCTTGCAACATGCAAAACATATTCACCCCATCATATCATAGCAAAAATCTTGACTCCAAGTCCAAAATTCAAAAATTCCTGTTCACCTGTGAAACCTAGAATACAAGTTATGTGCTTCCCAAGGTACAATGGCAGAACAGGCACAAGCTAGACATTTCCATTACAAATGGGAGAAATTGCAGGGAAAGAAGGAATATCAGGCACCAAGCAAGTTAGCAGAACACGTTACATTAGTCCGCAAGGCTTGAAAATAATTCTGTTCTCTGAGACCATTCATATAATAGCCCTGCCCTCCAGATTCTAGGTATTGGCCACACTCTCCAGATTCTGAGTGGAGGCCCCTCGGCCCTGGGCTTCAGCTCTGCCTTCCAGGCCCGCTGGGACAGCAACTCTTCTCCCTCGGCTTTAGGCACACCATTCTCCCAGTCCATCTGAGCAGCAGCTCCACCCTTAGAAACACCAGAGGCCATGGCCCCACCCTTTGAAACCCCAGAAGTCATGGCCATACCTTTTGAGACTGAGGCAGCTAGGCTTCTTGTGTTCTTTGTCTCTTCAGCTTCTGCTTCCTGTGGCCTGTCGGCCCTCAGGCCCCCATCTGCCCTGCTGCGGCAAGTGTTCCAAAGCTCTGTAGCTCCACCGATAAAGTGCAGAGGCACCGTACTCCACCAGGAAGCCTCCTGCACACAGGCACTCAGCTCTCTCTTGCTCGGTGGGTCAGCTCCAGTGCCATCTCACGAGGGTCTCCTGGTTCTGCCACTGCAGGTTCTCTGCTGCTGCTGGTCCTCTGTCACTGACACTCCTCTATCCATTCACAGTTTCAAAACCGCTTCCACATTTTAGGTATCTGTTAGAGCAACACCCCACTCTCTTGGTACCAAATTTTGTCTTAGTCATCTAGTGCTGCTATAACAGAAGTACTACAAGTGGATGGCTTTCACAAAGAGAAATTTATTTCTTCATAGTAAATTAAGCTAAAAGTCCAAATTCAGGGCGTCCGCTCCAGGGGAAGGCTTTCTCTCTCTGTCGGCCTTCTCATTAACCTTCCCCCGGACTAGGAGCTTCTCTGCTCAGGGACCCGAGGTCCAAAGGACGTGCTCTGCTCCTGGCACTGCTTTCTTGGTGGTATGAGGTCCCCCTTTTTGCTGGCTTCCGTTTCCTTTTATCTCTTGTAGGATAAAAGGTGGTGCAGGCCACACCCTAAGGAAACTCCCTTTACATTAGATCAGGGATGTGACCTTAGTAAGGGTGTTACAGTCCCACCCTAATCCTCCTTAACATAAAATTACAGTCACAAAATGGAGGACAGCCACACAATACTGGGAATCATGACCTAATCAAGTGGAGCAAAATTTTGGGGGGGACATAATTCAATCCATGGTATCCACATAAACCTGAATTATCTAAAGTTTAACTACCTGAGAATTACATAAAAAGAGCTTCTGGTCAGAATTCATGCTGTAAAGAGCTCGAGGTTACTAGTCATGGAAGAGCTCTTTAAATTTTGGTTCTAAGTGTATTTATTTTACTTTTTGCAACTTCTTACTACATTGATTATTGGATTCTATTCCCATAGCACATTGGAAATACCCAATTTAAAAGAGAAGGTATATGGGAGAAAATGTTTGGGGCAATTGACAAATGACGAGAAAGGAAAACTCAGAATGACTATAAAGGCAAACTCAATAATTCTAAACTTAGCACCTTAACACTGCCCTAGAGGTTCCAAGAACATCACTGCATTATAGTACAATACAATAATGAATTTCTATAATAAATATCAAGAAGGGGTAAAATTACATTCATTACATTCTATTTTAAAAGGCCAGGGTTTCCCACTTTCCCTTTCCCCTTATCACCTTCTACTTTCCTCTTCCTTTTTCTTTAACCTTCTCCTCTCCTCCTGGTGTGAAAAGTCTCAAGCAAGCCATGGCAGTGAGGGAGAAGAAGTTCTGCACAGAAGTGACAACATTTAATGCCCAAGGACTAGGGAAGTGAGGAAATGGCATCAGTTATGGTATCATGCTGAGCTTCCAAGAAAATCTGGTGATGATGGAGAAGGGTTTTAGTTTTGTTTTGTTTCCCAAAAAAGATTTGAAAAAGAACCAAATATAGCCTCTAGGAATGAAACTATAGTCGCCAATATCTAAAACTCAATGTACAGGACTAATAACAGATTAGATGCAATTGAAGAAAGATTTAGTGAACTAATTCTGAACTAAGGAAAGTCAGAAAAAAATTACTTATGTGCAGCAGAGACAAAAAATATGGAAGTAAGGTTAAGAGAAATGGAAGACAAAGGAGAGAGGCTAACATATAGTTAAATTGGAGTTCCAGAAGAAAAGTAGGAAAAAAAAGAATATTTTAGTTACTATAGTTGCACAACAACCCCAAACTTACTAGCTTAAAACAACTTTTATTTTGTTCACAATTTTCTGGGTCACCAATTTGGAAGGGCTCAGTTGGGCAGTTCTCCCTTGGAGTCCGTCATGGGGTTGCCGTCAGATGTCCACTGGGACTTCAGTCATCTGAAGGTTCCAACTGGGATGGGTGTCCAAGATGGCTCACTCACATGGAGTAGCAGTTGATGCTGGCTGCCAACTAAGAGTTCAGCTAGGGCTGTCAGTGGAACACCTACACATGGTCTCTTCAGCCTCAGTGTGATCAGCCCTCCTACCAGGAAGCTGGCTTCCCCAGGAGGAGCATCTTAAGAGAACCAGGCAGAAGCAGCAGGGTCTTTTGTGACCTAGTCTCAGAATTCATATGGTGTCACTTTCCCCATACTCTCTATTGGTTGAAGTCACAGACTTAGTCAGGGAGACAGATCTACCTTGAATTTGGGGCCCTGCCAAGCTGAAACTCGGGCCTGAGGAAGAGGCACTGCTTAGCTGGTGCTGCTGTCTCTGAGCTCAGAGGAGAGGCTCCATGGGGCTGGGATCCAGGGTCTTCAGGGCACTGTTGCTACAGGAACAAATTGCTGCTGCCACAGTGACAAAGCATTGTTGAGATGCCATTCACAACAATCAAAGCCAGCAGCCCCTCAGGAAAATAAAACAAGAAGGAGCAAGTCCTTTCTTTCTTGTCCAGCTTTGCAGTCTCCCTCTAATGCTATCAGGGAGCCAGCTGGCAGTGCAGAAATGTGGTTTGTAGAATCTCAGCTCCTGCATCACAAACACAGTATAGAAAGGTAGATTTGGAGCTGAGCTACAGTAACTGAATGATTGACACAACTGGTGAGGCAGAAAGAAATATCACTACAGATGCTGCAAATATTAGAAGATATTTTTAACAAATGTACGTGATGGATACTTCTGCTTATGTTTGCCAATTTTCATAGTATAAAAAGTTTGATTTTTAAGCTAACAGCCTCATCTGGGCTAACAAAACCAGTTGCTATCAAGTCAGTTCCGGCTCATGGCAGCCCCATGTGTGTCAGAGTAGAACTGTGCTCCACAGGGTTTTCAGTGGCTGATTTTTTCACAGGTAGATTGCCAAGCCTTTTTTCTGAGGTGCCTCTGGGTGGATTTGAACCGCCAACCTTTTGGTTAGTAGCTGAGTGCTTCATCTGGGCTAGATACTTTATATACATTACTTCCTTTAATCGTCATGGCAATTCTGTGAGCATATATTATTTTACACTTGAGGAAAGACAAATTCAGAAAAGTCAAGTACCTTGCACATGATCTCATGGCCAATTAGTGTTACCACCTGGATTTGGGCTCAGAGTTTTCTGTCTCCAAAATGGAACTGGGAGACCTTAGAAAGTATCTTATACAACTTTTTTATTTGATAGTAAAGGAAACAAGGGCCCAGACAGAAGTGACTTGTTGAAGGTCACTAAACTACCAGTTAGGTTTCCAGGCAGTGGAGTATGACGTATTGGCTAAAAGTCAGACAGAACCTGAATTCAAATCTTGCTTCTAACATTTACAAGCTGTGTCACCTTGAATGAAATATTTCACCTTTCTGAGACCATTTCTCATACGCAAAATGGGAATAATACTACCCACCTAGTAGGATTGTTTAAGAATAAAATGTCTATAAAGGCTGCCTAGCTCCACAGTTTTAAGTCCTTAATGGTTGGGAGTAGCGTAGGTAACAGGGAGGATTGGAATTCAGCGCTTCTCTGCCCCAGTCCAGGACTCTTTCCTGAAGAGAGAAAAAAATATGGTAACTTTATTTTCAAGACTAACATCTGAAAAACTGTCAGAGTGAGGTTGTATTTTAAGACAGTAGAGTATTCTTTATGAATAAAATATGTAATGCTCCTCTTTGCAGTTCCGGTTTTGGGTACAGTGTAGTGGCATCACAGCCACATTAACTTACACAGCACAGCTATGGATGTTCTTTCACATTCTCTTTCTCTTGTTTAAAATACTATAAAATTTATATTTTCATGTATACCCATGATATATTGTACATGACTGTTCAAATACATTTAAATAGTATATTGTACATAAGACTATGTATGTGCTATTTTATGGACAGTTTGGTGAATTTTCCAAGGATAAATTTAATATACTTTTGCTGTATGCACTGATTTAGAAATTGATCTTATCTTCAGAGGTGACTCATTTTAAAGGACAGTATGAAGGAGACTTTGTTACCTTCCTGGTTAACTCATACCTGTATTGTAATCCTTATATAGCTGATATACTCATTTCCAAAGTATTATAAAAATACTCTATTTTAATCCCTACTGTCATATATCTTCAAAGATGGAACTGCTCATCGTGGTATGAATCATATCAAGCATTAGTGGAAAGCTCCCCACTAAACTAGAAAAGTCTTGAAGTCACAGTCTATGTATTGATTATTTGTGTCTTTCTTTTTCTTTGTATATACTTAAGACACTATGCTTAAATTTGTCAGTAGGCCCATTTACACAGATTAAAAATTAATCTGAACATCTTTTCCCTCCTTTCTTTCAGTTTATATACCAGAACACTTTACCTAAGATATAGACCAAAAGTGAAGGTAAGTCTACTTCCTAGGTCCATGGGAGAGAAAGAGGACAGAAGGAATATTAGTAGGATGGGATGGAGGTAGGAGAAAAGAGGGAAGGAGGAGAGGAATTGGAGAGAGCACAGGCTTTGGAGCCAGAAGGCATTGTGTCTTAAGTCTTCCACTTATTTGCTACATAACCTTGGGCCGGTCTTTTGCCTTAGTTTCTTCGAAATAAAATGCAGCTGTTATGGTGAATGCAGTTAATGTCACTAAATTGTACACATGAAAATGGTTGAAATGGCAAATGTTTTGTTATATATATTTTACCACAATTTATATATATATATATTCAGTTAAAAATAAAAAAGAGCTGTTAACAGCTATATTGCAGAATTAAGGATAGAGATATTTAAGTGCCCAGCTCCGTACTTGACAAAGTAGATGCTTAATACATTTAAATGCACTAAATAATAATATTTTCTGCAGTCTGGTGCAGACCTGGAAGGAATATGGATTGTTTTGTTTTGACATACTTGGTGTGCTCAGGTGACTAATACCAGATAATCACTAGCAGACCTACCAAGAAGTATAGTCACAGCCTGATGGGTTCTTTCTCACTCTTTTTCGGGGATAATGTGGAACAATTTTATCTTCTCTCATTTTGTCCTAACTTGTTTCCAAACAGTTTATTCTTGGAATCTGGCCAGTGATCCTACTTGAGCCTCTCAGGAAGCACTGATGAATTATTCTGCCAAGAAAACAAACAAAACAGCTACCATCATCCTCATGGAAGGAATAAGGAAATTCTTAAAGTTCTACATGTTCAAATATATCATGATCGTTGCAGCAAAGGAGTGATTTTCTAACTAATGCTGCCAGCCATGCAGAGAATGAGGAGTGGAGCCTATTGGGTGTTTAGCTCATGTCTTAATCTCATTCTTCTTCCTCCTCCTTACTGTAGATGTTTAAAAAGATACAGATATGATGTTTATGTATATATGCAAATTCTAAAAAAAATGGGCTTTTCTTAACAGGTTAACAGTTTGTCCTGGTCATAGGAAATTAACGTTCCTTTTTTTTTTTTGGACGAGACTTGCATGTGAATTATATCTTTCCTCTAAGATTAGAAATGCATATTTGATTAAATAATGAAAGCAGTCTGGCAAAACCCCATCTCCAGATGGTCAGCTCTGAGCCAGCACTTAGCCGTGTCAGCCTTGATTTATAGTCCTGTCATAATTAACCTCATGAGTGGTTTTCCAAGGTAAAAAAGGGCTAGCTGTGGGATTCTGGATAGTTTTTCACTGTTTGTCTCTGTGCTAGTTGGAGTGTCATAAGCAAGCTCTGACCTGCCACTGAGTTGTATGCTTCTCACTTCCCAGGATTTGCAGTGGACTCTGGCGTGTATGTGTGGCCACAGCCCATCAGAATGGGTGGGTCATCTTGTAACCTTTCTGAAGGCCCAGGAGGAGACCTATAAAATGTTGCACTTCTGGCCAGTTACAAGTAGTTGCTCTGTTTCACTTGATCTTTGCAGATCTTTCAGTTATCACTGTTTTATGGCTAGGCAAACATGATTGGTGATCTGGCATAACTTATTTAAAATTGTCAATGAATATCATTATACTCTGGTGTGTTAACTCTTGCAACATTTTTTTATTTCTCAGAGAGACCATGGTTATGCCCAGGAAAGTTTGTCAAGTTAATTAGAGCTACATGATCAGGATCCTAGTTACATAAAAGTTTAAAATATCTGCTCTTTTCATTTTTTGAAGGAAATAGATATAAGGATTGAGAACAGTTTTCTTTAACTTGTAATGTGCAGAACCCCCAAAAATTAAAGTGCCAAGAAATGGCAGTAAACTCCCATTGTAAAGAAGCTAGTTCTAATTTGAATTTGAGTCTGTAACAAATTGAATCACTTTTCACAAGTAACACCTGCCTAGACTAAAAACCCGATTTGACCCCTTTGCTCATGTATCGCTGTATTTGTAGCTCTCTACACCGTTTAGCATTTTTGTAACTTTTCTCTTGCTTTGTACATTATTTTAATATCCAGATTGTTTTTACCACATGGTGATATTAACCTTAACCAGTTGCTGTCGGTAGAGTCAGTTCCAACTCAAAGCAACCCATGTGTTTCAGAGTAGAACTGCGATTTGTAGGGTTTTCAATGTCTGTGATCTTTCAGAAGATTGCCAAACGTTTCTTCGAGGCACTTCTGGGTGGATTCTAACTGCCAGCCTTTCAGTTAGTAGGCGAGCGCTTAACAGCTTGCAACATCAGACATTACCCCATGTTAAATCCTGAGCTACATCTTCCAAAAGAAAATCTTTTTTTCTTATGCAAAGGTGGTAAAACACTTCCATCATTTTTCCAGTATTCAGTTAGTAATCTTGGTACATGTTAAAACCAAAACAAAATTTATCATTTTTCTTCACGTAATGACCCTAGTTTTTAGCCCTGTAGTGCTCAAATACTGTATTCCTCTTCTTAGCGTGCTAATGTGCCATTAAGCAGATACTTCCGCCTTTTGCTCACCTGCTTTGGCGAGCCTCCAGCAGAGAAAAACACTTGCCAAAACATAAACCAAAGAGAACTTGGTTGTGGAGCTCTGTGTCTTAGAAGGATATAAAACTTGAGTTCCAATAGACCACCCATGAGACTATTTATTCTTTTTTTTGCCAGAAGAGCCTGACTTCTGGCTACATTTCACCTGCAGCAACATAGGCTATCAGCCATAGTATGTTTTTTAGTGAGTTCGTTCCACACCGTTATCTTTTTTGGGCATTTTACTCAAATATACTTCTGCATAAGGTATCTATATGTAGAAACAAAGACACATCCTTCATGACAGTGCTGCTAACATTGGAAGACCCAGGCCCTGCAGTACGGTCAGGTAAAGCACATAGGGAGCACACCCTGCTACTGAATGTATAGCTGTTTGTCCAGTGAGGGCTACAGCCGCCACCACCAGCTGTCATTTGTTGAGTAAAGTTAACTAGCACCTCACTGGGGAGGCATCCGCATCCCTGGGTAACTTGTAATTCTTTGGCCGGTTCTTCAAAGACTCTTTTCTCTGTTGTGAAAATAGCATGAAAGCTCAGCATAAAACATTTTAGAAGTGTTAAGCAGAAAGCAGAGATTAAAGTCAGTGACTTTAATTTTTCAGGTCTGCTGTGCCTCACATGTGGCTCTCCTTAGCAACCTAAGTAACACACTCAAGACTGTATCTGTGTGCCATATCAAGTATTGTGGAAATCACTGCTGACTTCTGGATATTGCTGAATCATCTTTATTTCAATGGCTTTATTTTTTTTCTTTCTAAGATCCTGGATGGGCATTAAAGGGTTGAACTCCCCTGCCCCCATTCTTTTGTTTTCTCGGAAAAGTTTCTGTTTAACTAGAGTGTACAAAAAGCCTGTTTCCTGCTGAGCAAATAATGGTTTGTTTACAGATCACCTGATGGGAAGGGTGCTTCTTCAATGAGCCCTATAGCAAATTATGTTAGAAAACATTAGTACTTTGTGAGGACGTGAAAGAAGCAACTTGCTTGTACATTTTAATACTGTTTTTACGCTGCCATTTTCACTCTGGACAATTGAAAGCACTTTTTTTTTTTCTTTTTTTTAAGGAAAACTAAGTGAAAGGTGGTTGGGTCAATCTGATCACGCCCTACTTCCTCCCCACCTGGGTTCTTTCATGAAACATCCCCACCACCTGAAGTGATCTCGTTTATTCTTGTGATGTTACATAAATTGATGATTAACAGGAGAAATAATCATTTTCGAATAATCTGCAAGTGAGAACCCCAAGTAGTGGCATTTGGTTTAGCAGAAATAGATCAAGTATTATGGTTTAGTCATAATGCAAACTTTCCAGGACTACTAAGCTGGGCTTTTCTTACACTAAGATTTTCCTTATGCTAAGAAGAGGAGGCATGAGTCAAAATTAAAAGAACAAAAACTCCAGGCACGCAGCACACGAAAATCTTTAAATGCCTGGGGGAAAAGAAACGTTCTGTTACAATGCCAGCAACCGTCAGCATTTAGCCAGTGTACCTCAGAGTGTGTAATAATTTTAGTTTAAGTTTTCCATGAGTCCTGTGAGTTTCTTACCACTATTTTCTTGGGGGAAAAAAAATCATTTGTTGCTAAATTTGACAGTTTTAGCTCCCAACTCCACATTTACATGACAGAAGAAATTCTTCTGACCCTGTGGTTTATGATACGCTATGCTAGTGGATAAGCTTTTATGTAAAACTGATGTATCAAAGAAAGCCAGTTATAATTGGAATTTGCAACTCTGTGGCAATTTGCAGATCTACCTTTATCTTACATTTTGCATCATATCAATACCACAGTATAATTAATTTAATCACCTCTGTCTTATTTTTCAGTAACTTTGGAAATATCAACTACAAGTTGGTTCAGAGTAGTTCAACCCCTTTGTGGAGGGAGATGTAAAATGAAAAAAGGGAATCTGTGTGACTCATCTGCCTGGAAAACATCAGTGCTTGTTTTTAAACTGTTGCACTGCTTTTAAAATAAGAAAAAACTTTTTATTTTGTTCCAAATGTCTAACTGTTGTTGCTGCCATGGGTGAGTTGCCCTTGTTGCTGAGGTCTGTGTGAGCATACCACTGGACTTAACCGTTTCTCCAAAATTGCCAGCCCAGTTAGGTTTATATACCCAGATAAGGATACTACTTCACTCAAACTCAAACTGAAGATAAAATTCTGGCCCTGGGCTATAAACGCTGGCCTTGAGTTATATGAAACCTTGATATAGTTGAGGGAAAAGTAGAAGTTGCAAGGTTAAAAATTTTCATGAAGCCATAGCCCTTTCTCTAACAGGCAATCAGAACAGCTAAGGAGGGGAAAAAATCACTGAAGAATTTAAGCAGTATTGTTAACTACAGAATTTCTGCTGTTGTTGAGACACATTGAGCCACTTGGAGTAAAAGCTTAGCAGTACTCACTCCACAATTTTAATATCTAGTATTGTTGCCTTCTTTTATCATTAAATCGAACAAATTATAACCTTTTGATTGGCAGCTAGTATGGAAAAGGAATGATCACAGAATATTTCATACTAGAAAACCATGAAACCTAGCTCAAAAAATTCAGTTACAAGTGACCTAAAATTTCTCCACTCTGTTTAGCTCAGCAGCTGTCAGTATTACAGCACCAACCACAGGTCACGCTTTGCTGTGCTGACAGTTCATTTGTAACCCTTATTAGCAAGACCTGCCTTTTGCTTTAAAGAGCACAGTGTTGATGCTTGAACTGGATTTAGTCACTAGTAATTTAAATATTCACAAAATTGTCATAAAGCATCTAGTTTCTGAAATTTCTGGCAATGCCACATCTGTAGATCATCATTTTCAAACTGAACTTGCAGAAGTAACACTAAGACTTGCAGAAGAGCACATTCATTAGAGAAATGCTTAAGCATATGAATATGATTCCCTACAAATATTCATTCTGAAATCATTTGCACCTAAAAGAAAATGATAAAAATGTGTTATAAGATTAAATGGCTCTGGACCAAGGGTTGGCAAACTACAGCCCACAGGCCACATCTGGCCTGCAGGTGTATGGCCTGCAAGGGAAGAATGTTTTCACATTTTAAAAACACTGTTTAAAGAAAAAA